ATCTTATATTCATGACAAAACGAAAAATGACAAAGTAAAGAAATAAATAATAGAAAAATCTGAAGTTTGTTGAAAAAAAAAAAAAAATCCATTAAGAATATTTCATCTTCGATTCTGACATTAAAATATTTGCAGCATAACATTAATATTCCGTGGTTGGAGTTTCATTGTAGATGTGAAATGACTGAAGCAGACGATTTTTATTATTTTTATTCATTTTCTTTTTTTAGAAATGATTGTAGCAGATTTTTTCAACTATCGAAAAAAATGTTCTTTAAAGTGGTTGAGTTAAAGAAAATTTCTGTTAAAGTTTGCATTTTCGAGATGAAAACTTCCCATGTTACATTTTTCAATAGCAAATATTTAAATAATTCTTCTCCTCCCAGCTATGGGTTTTTACGTTCTAAACCGGGTTCTATAACCTTGGATGGCAACTGGTTTACCATTAAAGAAATGGCAACCTACTTTTTGAAAAAATCTGCCTCGTTATTCATATATCGAAAAATACATGATCGCCTAAAAATGTATCACGCAGGACACATAACTGTCGTTTTATATATATATATATATATATATATATATATATATATATATATATATATATAACATTATATATATATATATTTATATACAAAAAGAAATAATCACGCATAGAATCAATCAGCAATATTAATGCTATTATTGGCGACATCCATCGCTAGTAAACATAATGTATGCATTAAAATACTGTTAATCCATAGAATGATGTGATCCTCATCTATAAAACTGTTGTCTGTTGTTTCCAGTTTATATTTTTTTAAATGCAAGTACTTTCGAATAATCCTTTATTCATCGTCAGGCATATTTTTTCCTTATAAAATTAAAACTTTGAAACGAAATAATAGTTTGTAGACCGAAAGATGTTTTTTTTTTGAGAATGTGCTATTATTGACGGTTGTGTACAATATCGGAACGTGCAAAGACGCAACGCTAAGTTTTTCAAAATTTTAAGTGAGAATTCTTATTTGAACTTTTCTTGTGATGTGGTAAATCCACGTATTCTATTTTCACAAGTGTTTTCAGTTAATGTCATGAACTAAGTATATATATATATTTATATTTTTTTAAAATGCAAGTAAAATGCAATAAAAACAAAAATTACCCCAACATGGGATAGTCGTGTTCAAAAGGGCTTGGAACAGACTATCATCAGCCCTTAAGTGTCTGTCTCGGAGCATTTTTTAAAATTCATTTTCAATGTCAGTCCTCCTCTAGTAGAGGCCTTGTTAATGAGAATGGGTTTGTGTCAGCGATTAGTAGGGGCGTAAGGTACCTTATCCTGGGGAAAGCGGTCGGGGGTTGTTTGTTTATGCCTATTGATGATGAGGTAATTTTTTTTTTCTTCTGTGGTAAAAAATTACATAAGCTCTGTTATAATAAATACATCGAGCTCTCTGGGGATCAGTTTTAATAATTAATATTAGTAGTATTGACCCTGATTATATACCAACGGATAGATTATATATATATATATATATATATATATATAGTTCGACATTGTTACTTTGCTGCTAACACTCGTGTTGTTTTCTCTGCCAGGCCTGTTCTTCCATCTATACATAAGAATGTTCTCCCACCACACCATAATAGTTCACTAATTTATTCCTTTAAATGTATTTTCAGTTTACACTGCATAGGGAGAACGACGCAAAGGCTAGATGCTAGAATAAAAACACGTTCCAGCGAAAATCCGAAACCGGAAGTATACGTCCTCGGACATTCTGACCAATACGTATGGGTCTTCCATCGCAGAACACCTTATAAATAGCCATAAATGTGCTGTTAGTTTTAGTCCTCAGCAAGTCCCACTCAAATTAAAAGTGTTGGAAGCCATCTATATTCTATATTTAAAGCCTTCTCTTTGTAAACAGAAGGACTTTATATTAGGCCTCCAAGTAATTACCATTTAGTTTTTTTTCACACCAATAAACTTTGTCCATTGTTCCTTTTTTTTTAATATATAATTTACTCTATTTAGCTCTGTTGAGCGAGGTTCGAAACCGGTTAGCTAGCCCGTTTTTCATTTTACTTTTTATTATCATGAGTGGTAATAATAAAACTAATTTTTGTCTATTCATGGCAGTGATTATATATGTTATAACGAACCATGCTTAAAAACACACGTAAGCCGAGAGATAGCTTATTCCTAAATTTTCGCTTGAAGATGAAACGGGGCTAAACACCTTAATTCGGGGCCCGAAAAGAAATGAGTACACACCAGAAATCAAAGGAAATAATAATGATAATAATAATAATAATAATAATAATGTTGAAAGAAGAGCCGATTTATCCTTGAACAGGCTGTATAAGAAGCTACTGAAAATATATAACATATTGCCAGTGGCTGCACAGTTGGCACAAAAAGAGTGCAATCAACACCATGACAAAGTACCCCCCAGAATACATTATAAACTCTGTAGCAAGTATGGCTTCGAGTGCGCAGAAAGGAATTTACCGTCATCAGTAGCCGAGAACATGCAAGTGAAGATCATCTGGGAAACGGCTATTTTGACTGACAAGCGCTTGGAGAGCAATCGCCCAGATAGAGGTTGCGCTACCTTGGGATAAGAACATCGTGAAGGCGGAGCATGGCGAAAATAAAGAGGTAAAAAAAAAAAACCCTGAGAGGACAAATCAGAGAAATATACGAAGCAATAGCGAAAGCTTCTGTTTTGGTGTTGGTGCATCCAGGACAATTTGGAATCTTTTTGCTTCGCAGGAAGTTTTGGGGATGTCTGATATCATTGGAAGTGCGTAGGTGGCAGAACCGCTTGGAATAGCTCATTTACTAAGCGTGGCTTAGTTCTGGCACAAAACCGAAAAAGTGATTTTCTAACCATAGCTTTAATGTAACAAAAAGCCGAAAAAGTGGAGCACCCAGTCAAGATCGAACTCACAACCCAGTCGTAATTGATCTAGCAAGACAAGCTTGCTAGCCATGTACCCCCATAACCTTTCAATGTGTACAGGATTTGATTGATGGATTTCTTTTTTACGACTTAGCAACCGTTTACAGGTTATTTAAAGCCAGGCAATATTTTTAGAGTGTAAGAATTTTTTTTGGCGATAATGATTTTTACTGATACAAGTCCTAATTAACCCATAGCTGGGGAAAAAAAGAGGCGAATTCATACCTTTCCCAAGGGTACTTGCACGTCAGGGAATATAGCGAACCTGACTGAAATTTGAACTCCATTCTCCGATTTCTCATTCCGAGCCGTTATCCATTACACCACCCACACATCCAAGTTCGTAGGACCTGGTATTCCCACGTGGTCAGCCACCCAAACACTGACCAGGCTCTTCAGTGACCATACTGGATCCAGTGTTTCTACGTAATATGTCCGTAAGCCAATATTTACAGGAAATAAGATTTAGATCAAATGTCTGTAAAACACGAAAACACTTTTGATACACTGTAATAATAGTAATATTAGTTCAGCACAGTCGAGATCATCGAATCAATGCGAAGAATCCTTTCCTTAGTTGCAGAGTTTGTGTTTCGGCAGGACTACATACAGTTTTGAATTCAGATTTTTTTTCCTTCTCCTAAACCGGTTGCCAGCTAAGGCTATAGAATGCAGTCTGTCCTACTATTTACCAATAGTTGGGGGGAATAGTTGGATTCATACATTCCCCAAGGGTATTAGCACGTAAGTGAATGTAATGAAATCGACTGGAATTTGAACTGTGATTCTCGGATTTTTCAGTCAGGGCCGCAATCAATTAGTCTAGTAATAATAATATTAAGAAGTAAGTGTTTATATGTTTAGCTGAAATCAGGTTTACAGAAAACGTTTGTAAAAAAAACAAAAAAACAAAGCGTTTTTACTACAATCTAATATTAATAATGCAGCGATGCCATCGTCCTGAGATAAATACAAGAGATAATATTTGGAGAGAGAGAGAGAGAGAGATTCTGTGAAAACGGAAATACTTTTGATGTCGCCAAATGAATAATCCATCAATAATACGATAGTAGAGACGCAGTCTTTTGATCTCTACGGGAAATAATGTTTAGAATAAAGGTTTGCAAAAAAGTACTACTAGAAGTAGTAGTAGTAGTACTACTCCTCCCACCACCACTAGAAATACTACCATTAGAAGTACTACTACTAGAAGTACTACTAGCACTACTACTACTAGCACTACTACTACTAGAAGTACTACTACTACTAGCACTACTACTACTAGAAGTACTACTACTACTAGCACTACTACTACTAGAAGTACTACTACTACTAGCACTACTACTACTAGAAGTACTACTACTACTATTAGTATCCCACTAGACATGGCTTCTGATTTTAACTGATTGGTACAGGTTTCGACTTGGTGAATTAAGATACCCTGCAGTAAATACCCCTTTCAATAACACAGATTTGATTGACAGTTCCCTGACCAGGAACCATTGGTCGTGTCCTTTAAAAACAGACGCACTGTGCATCTGTGGTAATGATGGATTGATTGATTCGTTCGTTTTCTACGGTTTATCAACACTGTAGGTTATTTAAAGCCAGAAAATATTTTTAAATTCTAAGAATATATATTTTTTTTGGAGATAATGGTTTAGTGATAAAAAAATATTACTAATTAACCCATATCTGGGCGCAAGGTGAAGAGGTGGATTCATACGTTTCCCAAGAGTTCATTTGCGCGTATGTGAATGTAACAAACCCGACCGGAATTGGAACTCCGCTCTTCGATCTCCAGCCCCGAGCCATTATCCCTTACACCTACAGCAGCTAGTATTCTCAAGCGGTCTCCGATCAATAATTCCGATCCGCTATTCATTACACTATTTTCACATCCAAGTTTACAGCACCTGGAACTCCAAAGCGGTCACCCATCTAGGTCCTGACCAGTATCGGCGTTGCTTAACTTCGGTAGACTGACAGTTGTTACAATTGCCAGTTTAACAATTCCAAGCCATTATCCATCACACCATTCGCACATCCAAGATTACAGCACCTGGTCTTCTAAAGTGGTCACCCATCCAGGTACTGACCAGGCCCGACATTGCTTAACTTCGGTTATGGTACGGAACCAGGTGTTTCGACCTGATGCGACCGTAAGTCTGTACACAAAAGTAAATGAAAACTTACAATGGTCAGATGTTTTGAATGAATCCCTATTGGACGACTTTTTAGTGAATCAACAATTTGTCATCTTAATTTTATTTATTAAAATAACATTATTTATTATTTGATTTATTAAAATAACATCTTGAGATTCACACATAGCAGGAAAATAAAAGAAGGCATTTGTCGAAACGCCTAGCAAAGATCATGGAATTCGTAGAATAATTGCAATTACTGCAGAAATTCAGCTAAAGATGATCTATAACTAAATTTGTGGGTGAAGAGCAAAGAGGCAGGGGTGGGTACAAATCACAGTTGGTGCGTTGCTTAGTACAATACATTTTCGTGAATAATTTTATGTAGAATTGCAGCACCAACTCCAAACTGTATGCTTATTGAAACATGACCATCTTCATCCAGAAAATGGCGAAGTTTCTCAAACAGCCCGAATGTCCTGTCATCCACGTAGTTTCTCTCTCCCACATCGCTCATCGCCTCTCACATCTTCGACGTCTTCGAACCTCTTGTGCCAACGAACATCAGATTCTCGGCTTGTGCAAGTTAATCCATAAGCAGTCTGGAACAAGGATGTTTGCCAACCGCCCCACGCAGTCAGATGTGGCATAAGGCCGAATTTAATGTTATGTCTCCGAGCCCGTACAACCAAAAGGTAACAAAATTTTTTAACCCTTAAAAAAAAAAAAAAAAAAAAAATGGGTCAGGGCTGTCTACCTCCCCAGACGAGACTCGGTCCTTCAACATAGCCTCATCTGGGTTCCTCTCTGTCCGAAGGCAGAGAGTTATACTAGCTTAACTGGAGACGAATCTCCAACTAATTGCCGAAGCAAGACCCCCCAGTCTGGAGCAAGTCATAAGTTTCTGTAGCATTTTTGCCCAATTTAACACCAAAACTTATTGCATAGTGAGCTTCCAAATTGACTTCCCGTCCTGACTGCATTCTGAAAACGTGTCCATTGGGAAAAGCAGTTTTTAGTAGAGTGTGTTCAAATATATTTTACAATTGTCTCCTTCAATCTGGAATAACAGAAGTTGGCACGTCAATGTACAGTAATTATTTATCTATAAACTTCCGTTAGTTCGTCTGTCATGCCCTCTAAAATAGCCATACATTGACCGATCGAAACCAAATTTGGGAGAGAAGAGCAAAGAGATAAGGGGGTACAAATCACAGTTAGTGCGCAGATTAATACAGTAAATTTTCATTAATGATTTTGAAAAAAATAATTTTTATTATTAAACATACAAAATACTCCTATTTTAAAAAAATAATTATTAAAACAAATACTTATTTAATAAAAATTAAATATTGTTTTTTGTATATCTTTTCTTTAAGTTTTTATACATACAAGAATTCAATTTCCAGTTCACCCTGCGTTTGTGAGAACAAATCACAAAGCCAAACGCTTCAAAAAGTTGGAATTTGGCTCCAGAATGAAATATTTACGCATGGTCAGTTATATGCTGCCTGCTCAAGTGTAAGAAATCCTTTGAATTTATTCTTCACTGTTAAACAGGAAAAAAGAAATTTTCTTAAAAAATATTGTTTACTATGAAGTCCTATAAAATTAGATTAAATTAAAAAAAAATTATTAAACCTCGAAGTTGGGTTTTTGTCAAAGTATTTTCCAAACAAAGCAGCTGACTTAAATTTCATTGAATGGTTTGCTAAATTGAACGAAACAGAGTTTGTAAATCTTGACAAAAATGTTTGTGATAACTTCAACAATAATAAATATTGTAAGGATTTTGACAAGCGTCAGCGTATTGCAAAAAAAAGTCTAGTATACGAAAACTATAATAACTTAGGAAAGTTGTAATTGCCTCTCAAAAAGTGTCTCAAAACTAAAAACTTGTCCTGTTAAAAAGAAATTTGAACTTTTCAATATTGGTTAAATGAGGAAACATACGGATATTTTGATGCCATTAATCAGGAGGATTGGAATGATCCGGAGAACCGAAATTTGATTGACATTTCTTCCAATATAATCGAACTGGAGATAAAAGAAATACCAAAGGCGATTTTAACGTTCGTAATAATCGATAGAGAAAACGTCCACCCGAATCTGGCTTTTCAGGATTTGGGGATACGACGGGTATTCAAAAAATAGTACAAAAGGGAAAATATTCACGGAAACAAACTAAAATAAGAAGAAATATTCTTTTTTTAAAAAAAAAAAAAAAAAAAAAAAAAATTGATTATGATGCATAGTTTGGAGATTCTACTTTGCGTTTGAAGAAGTTACGCATCTCGGAGTTTAAGCAAAGATTAATTGATTTGTCTTTCCGTTTTTGGTTTTTTTACGGTTTATCATCCTTTTGCAGATAATTTAAAGCCAGAAAATATTTTTAGTTTGTAAGAATTTTTTGGAGATAATAAAGATTTATATTAATGGAGCACAGTGGAATAATGGATAGCGGCTCGGATTAAGGAATCGGAGAGCCGTGTTCGAATCCCAGCCAGGTTCGTTACAT